TATCCACCAGTAATACTTTCTTTAATATATTCATTCCAAAAGTAAAAACGAGTACGTGAGAAGCTTGTTTACTAATGAGTAATTTTAATCAGTACTTCTGTAAAGAAAGAAAAACACTATTAAATAAAAAAGAGTTAAGATTGATAATAATTATTGATAAAAATTATTACTTATATGGTTTTGGGAGTAATGTTGTGCTTTTAATATATATTGTACGAAATAGTGGTCCGTCTGTCGCTTTAACTAATATAACTTATGAGGTAAAACTATCGTAGTTATCACTAAGCCTAAGTTGGTGCATATTACAGCCAATTATTTACTTTGACTTGTTAGCGTGTTGTGGGTAACATTTTACATATCCTTACTTGGAAAGGTAGTGAAATTTGGACCATTTGATAAAAATTTTAAGATATTTTGGCAAAGTTTCCATAAGTTGTTATTCCAAGAAATATAAATATGAATATTTTTTTATGCATACTGTTTCTGTTAACCTCTATTTTATTATTGTTTCATTTATTATCGACCGACTTCCACGTAGACAGATAGTCAATCTTAACCCGGTTTTATATATGAATTCGTTTCTATACAAAAAAAAATTGAGATTAAAAACTATAGGTGGTTATTAGTTATACTACAGATTTGAACTGATTGAAATGCTGCCTTTGTTTTAATTACAATCAAATTAAAAGAGCATAATGAAAAGATCTTAAATGATAGACACTAATATTATTCGAGGAATCAAAAAGAATTACTTTTGTGTAGAAGAAATCAAAGGATTTAAAAGTCAAAAATTTCAGATAAGTCATTTCTAATACGATTCCGCTATTATTCTCATTTCAGACGATGGTTGTTAGACAACGCCATCTTCGGTGTTCCGGTGAGGATGCTCATTCGATATCCGGTTACGGTTACAGATATTTCTATCGTTTTGAATTTAAAACATCAAAGATTTGTATTATTCATATAAAATATGTCAATTAAAAATAACGAGGACGGAAAACAATAAAGGTAAAATAATCCACAATTCTGTTACTACGACAATTTTTGAATTTTACAATATTCCATTCAATACCACTTCGACCGAAACGAGGTGAAATCAACTGAAAATCGAATGTCAAAGTAATTTTTTATCGACGAAATTGACATTTCGTTCTTGATATGGATTTTAGTAATTATCTGGTCTTTGTGGTGTTATTAGAGTACGTAAACCTATTAAGAACTATTTAATGAACATTTTTGTTTTTAATCGAGATATATAAGCTTGATAATATTTAAAACAGTATTCTGTTATTTCATATTTAACACCTTAACGTACCTTACGTTGAAATTATTTAAAAGTATAACAATTGTCTTTTATAAAAACTTATATATCTTCGCTGTTTATTTATTTTTCTTTCGATCTTTAACCTGGGATGTAATAAATAAAAATATAAATACATATATTAAAAACAAGGTTATTTAGCTAAAGGTCTAAAAGTAATAACATTTATTTTTAATTTCATATAACTTAGGAACTTTACTACGAACTTTAATGTATATATTATAATACTTATCACAACTAATTTAATGGAAATTCAAAGTGTCATCCAGATAACGGAGTGACAACACCTTATAGAAGACTATGGGTTACTTTTGTCTCGGTTATCAGAGAGACCTGATGGAAATTTTGTCAACTGGTCATTGGCTGGATATTTCCGCAGTCAAGGATCTCTCAATGTTCTCTGTAGGAGGCTAAATCGCCAAGCAATACCGGAGTTGAAATCCACAGAGAACAAAACAATGATTGATTGAATATCTTCAATTAATGACTGTCAAAATCTTTGAATAGTGTCCATCAACAGAGTATCTAAATTTGGAGAATTGAGCGGCTTAGTTCTCAGTTCACTGGATATTCACGCAAAAATGCTCATGAATTTGTTTTGGTTAATACGAGTAGGTTTTTATATCTAGACAATTCTCTGACAAGAAATCGAGACGTTGAGAATCATACGATATCTTCTTTTATATGTTGCAGATGTTACTGGGTCTTCTGCTGATCCTATCCACTGATAGGATCTGTCATTTGAATTTAAATACCACCTACGCAGTTTAGTGTACGCAAAACAGAAGGTGTCGCTTTGGGTGTAGTTGTGATTAAGAAGAACTTCATTCCAAACTCTTCCACTAAAAAGAAAGGCCTATCTATTTAAGTTAAATTTGAACTTTACCCAACATGATGTGGAAACACTATACCTGAAATAAGTATCTCTGTAACGAAGTTTAACTCTCTGCACCTTCTTACCACACAATTCAAAATACGTCCTCGTGAAAAACTATTCAGTTCACCCTATGGCTAAAAATGGTCATAGATCAGATTTATAGTATGATAAATATATATGTCGCTGTTATCTAGAAGGTCATAGAGCACTAGAACAAGACAAAAATATTAAGATATTTCCAAGAATACGATGTGTTTAGCGACCGTTGATATGACTTTTTACTGACCCACTAATGTATCTCACTTGCCGCTGGGCTTCCGTTAATAAGAGTCAAGATGAGGTGTAGGGTATAGGTATATGTAGCTTGAATATGACAAAGTCACTCAACTGTTTCTAGTACCATCACTTTCTATTAAAGTTACCATTGTACGGATTACCGAGACTTTTTGAAAATAAATCACTAGCTTTTTATTGTTATTTACAGTTGCTCGAAAAATATAGACTACAATTCTGAATTTTCACGGACTCGTTGGTATCCTGAGACTGTAGCTCCTTCATTTCCATGGTATTTTGTGTATTGAAATCAGTCTTTATTATGTGGACAACAGTGTCTTCTTTAAAAGTTTTTTAAGACTTCGGCCAAAATCTCTAGCGAAGTCATAAGAAATAGTCGAGGGCAACTTATACCTGATATCAAGACTGCTCTACCCATAGTGGCCGGTTGATGACAGGATAGCGTCTTCTGATTTAACCTGGGTTAGAAACAGGTTTATATAATGACCACTAAAAGCACTATTCATTATGTGTGGTAAATACTTTCAAGACAGGTCCTCAATCATCTTTGACAAAATTGGAATGGAATGTCTTCAAATTCTAGAGACCTGATCAAGGAGGTACTAAATCCGGGAGAAACGTTATTGCTATATGATTGCTAAGACCTATGCTACACGTAGTACCTTCTGATTACTTCTGAGCTGATACGTCTTCATATAAGAAGTTCCAAGAAACTATTTGATATAACATCAACGGTTAGTTTAATTCATCACACCTCTCCTAACTGGAAGGGTGTCTATTCACGCATCTTGACTCGTTAATAGTCTGGCAAAGTGCGGTTTCATACGAATTTCCTTCTTTGAACGCTGATGCTAGAAAATAAACTCCATGTTAAAATTTACCCAACATCCTATAGTATGGGGTTCTTTAAGAAAGTTATTTGGAAAGTCGGCAACGGTCAAGTGATTTCGTGATAATGTGTCCGCAGCTGACCACTTAATACTAGAAGAGCCATACGATTACTTTTGCTACCAATTTGTTATGAATAAAAATGTCACTATGTGGGTTTAATATACAATTATGCACATAAGTTTGATTTTCACAGCAGCAAACTTAGTGAATTTCAAATTCAGCCCTATGTCACATAAAAGAAAAAACGTCGCTAATAAGACCTTCTGAAAACTCGACGAAGCGACTAACTCAAAGAAAAAACTTAAAAATTAAAAGAGAATCTGAAGGTATGTGAAAACCGCAGTTCACGGACAAAATAGAATTTTGTTTCAGTTCCTCTCATAAAAATAAATCAAAAGACTTTAAAATCAGGATCGCGAGTAATCTCTCTTTCCATTACCTCCCAAAGCGGTTTACTTTGGACAAGCTAAATTAAGTCTTAATTTAAAGGCGTTGGGTTTCATATCATTTGTAGTTAGAACCGCATCAATTTAGTTCCAAGGGGAGCTTATTAAATCCAAACAAGGTCTTATTTTCTAAGTGATAAAGTTTTATTTAGCTTACTTTGTAATCATTGTCATTATTCCAAAATGATATGGAATGGCCAAGAGGTAAAGTACTGTCTATATTCAAAGTAGGCTTAGGGCAGACTGCTTATTTTTATGTTACCATTATCAGTAGATCCAAAACATTAATTTTAGCTATATCTATATTTAAATCTTACAGCAACTTGCTAAATAATCAATAGATTTAATATTGAATAGTTTGCGAATCTAATCGTCTGTTAAGATTTATGTTTGTTATTTATTCCCTATTATCCGTCTAATCTTCTAATTAAATCCCTTTTCCCTTAATCAAGATACGTAGGAATTCTGCGGTACTTGTTTCCGTTTCGTTTAAAGCCGAATCGTGGGTGAACAATAGGTATTGTTATTTCGGTTTCCTTGTATTTGTTTACAATTTTTATTGCTCAGTGGGTAACAAAAAATATACCTCAAGAAAATAAATATTGTGTTGTACAACCATGATTATATTAACGGAATGATTAGTTAATTTTGTCAAATATAAATTTTATGTAATACGATTAAATAATGTTATAAATTAATTTATTTTTCAATAAACCGAATTAAAAACAAACGTCTTTCGGGTTTATTAAAGTAACATAATTAGAGGCAAGTTGTTTTTACATGTTCATTCACGCACCAGATGTTTTAAATTTGATTTCCACAGAACGGTCGATCCGCACGACTTAAGGTGGAAATGAAAATTTAATAACGAAATTACCTACAACTTTATCAAAGTCACACAAACAAATAGAATTAGCTCTTAATTAATTTTGTTCTAATTTATAACCAGTAGCTGAAGGGTAATTCTTCATTACGTTGCAGCGCTACTTGATTCTTATAACTAACTATTATTACTTTACTTTTTACTCTAATTAAAGAGACGCTACAAAATACTTATGAATTATTAAATTCTTTGCAACTGTCTTAGAAATATTTCTATCTATTTATAAATATTATTCCAAAAAATATGCTCATAATATTGTATTTCTTTCAGGGGAGGTGTTAGCCTAAGATGGTGTTGGCGTTTGTGGTCGGAGTGCTATGCGTGTGGGGCCGCTTGAGCGTCGCAAACCCTGAAGCGAAGCGGCTATACGACGACCTCCTCTCAAACTACAATAGATTGATCCGCCCCGTCGGCAACAATTCAGATCGACTCACAGTTAAGATGGGTTTAAGGCTTAGTCAGCTCATTGACGTCGTAAGTATAAATCGATGATTATAGTTTAGATCTCATTTACATTTCACAGCTCCGACTATAGCATTAAATTTCTCATACTTCCAAACCGTTTCCATAGTGACATAATATCAAAATGAAATGAATAATAAAAGAACCAGGTCGTCTGTATAATTGTTAAAATTTATTGCTCCTAAAAATGAACTCGATGGTCTCGTCACAAATTTTTGGAGCATTAGTCAAATACGGCGTTTTATTACTTTACGAAATTGTTTTAATATGGATGTGTATTGATCAAATTATATTATAATTCCCAGCATATTTGTTTTGTAGTGATATTATTAACATTGAAATTAATTAAAAGATTAATTATTATTTACGAATAATATTTTTCATATTCGTTAGGAAATTAATTACGAATTTAAACATTTTCGTATTTAACCATGCAGAACGGTACGCTTAACTTTCATATGTTATCAATTACCATGTGAAAATCATAAATAAGAATTTATTATAAAATTCTTCTTAATCCTCGAAGCCTTGTTGATCTGTGAATAAAATAATTAAATTGTATTAATCTTGAAGTCAATGACAGAATAATTCGTATCAATTTAAAAAGCATAAAATGTTAGATATACGTATTTAATTTTGCAAGAAATCTAATTTGATCTTTCTGTTATGTTAGTTATAAAATGGATTAAAATACTAAGTGTCAGTACTAAGTAACATTTTATAAAATATTAAAAAATATGTAACATACATACATACAAAAGGTGGTAGAGCCTAGCTGTGGTGAGTTACTACAGCTCGAACATGGGCTGGCTCGACCGGGGAAGTACCACCCTTTCACAGAAGATCGGCGTGAAGTAGCCTTTACTGGCTGCGTTTCGTCTGATGAGTGAGAGAGCCGGTTGCCCTTTCCCTATTCCTACCCTTTCCTTTCATTTCCTTATTCCCACCCCTCCCTATCCCCAAAAACAAGGTTGGCAACGCATCCGCAACAAAATGTTGCGGATGTCCATGGGCGACGGAAACCACCTTCCATCAAGTGGGCCGTCTGCTTGTTTGCCACCTTTCACATAAAAAAAAAAAAAAAAAAAAAAATACAACCCAACTTATAAAAGCATGTTAAAAATAGTTTTTAAAATGAAAATATACAATATATGTACATGAATATTAAAACAATAATTTATTCCTACTATGTCAGATGAATACTTGTGAATTAAACATCTAAAAGTAAATACAGTGCAACTCTCAAAACCCTTCAATTGCTGTGTGAAAGTTTTAATGACGGACATCGGATTGAAATACTAAAACCACTAACTAACTCAGAACTTAAAATCTCTTCCTAGTTAGATATAGAAGTCGAATAATCCATGCATTTATGAACAAAGCTTAAATTCTACAATAATTTTTGTGTAAAATAGTATTTGTAATATAACGTTTTGTAAAAAAAACTATTTTTTCAGGCATCACATAGAGTAAGTAATAGTTAGCAAAATCGGTGTTTTTGATATGTCTAAAGATTTGTTTTAGTAAATTATAGTTCCACACCATATTTTCGAATTAAAAAAATGATGTTAAAGGTTAAAGGAAGGTCACATACTTTATAAAAACCCATATAGAAAACATTTCTTTATATATAGTAAATAATATTTATATATATGATATTGAAGATCTATAAAAATAGCTGATTAGTTTCTAAAAGAAAATTTATTCAAAAACTTCTCCATATTCTCTCTCATCACAAACATTTAATTACATTTTATCAAAGTCTTGATTTTAAATAAGAATCCTCAATTAGTTATTTTTGTACATAACACCATTCCAAAAGCTACGTTTACATAAAAATGTATTATGTCAACAGATAATGACCTCAAAACAAATGTTATTAAGGCATACTTTTTCCTGAAACGAATTTGATTGAGGAAACTCCAGTTTTTGTTAAAAATTCATGGATTCGTCCGTGAAAACGTATGTAAGTACGCCACGTCTCTAAATAAATGTTTGTATATGAATTAATAATATCAATTTCATACCTAACGCTTAACTTGAATTATAAAAGAAGACAGTAATGTATCTACAAATCAAACAAATTTATTAAATATTATCTACATTATTATTCAATAAATGACTTATATATCATTTTAGAAGCAAAATAAGTTAAACTCATCTATTGACTATCTTTGGTTTGGCTTATTTATTTTTGATACATTCTCTTATATACTTAAATTATTTTTAAAACGTTTGTATCTTAAATATAAATGTGGAGAGTCAATAAACGTATGATCACATTTATAGTATTTCCGAAGTTATACATGACTTACAACTTACTTTGAAACGGTAATTCTGATTTAAATGATAAGAAGATCTGATTTTAGTGTAACTGTACTTCTGTAGCTGCATAATTTAGTAACCATTTTCTTATAATAGAATTACTTAAGTGCAAACTTTAAAAATAACTTGCATCTTAACACAAACAAAGATTCTGTTTAACAATCTTAAATATTTAAATAATACCAGTAATATCATTGTGTAACATTTAAGAGAAGTTTCAAGGTAAACAATAATCGTAAAGTAAGCCATACATAAAAGAATTCAAGAATAACTAGAACAAAAATGGCTGTAATTCATAATTTATTATATCAACAACTTAATACCATACTGAGTTATTCTGCAACTAGGATCATTATTTATAACAACAGGAGTTTAAAATTTGAAAACTATATGTACATTATATTTTAAACAACGTGTATGCGGGACCTCAACTATTTACTTGCAGAAGTATGAATTGTTAAGAACCTCGGCTTCCAAAGCTACATGTAAAGTTTCTGAAACTTGTAACAAGAAGTTAGTTTAGAGAATTATGTGTCAAAGTTATCTTTTAGTAGAACTATAAAGCATCATCATTTCGTAAATAGAAGTCATTACGTTACTCAATTTAAAGAAATTTAAACCGTAAAATAATCTTAATTTTGAAACATAATTAAAAGAATTTATCTATGATACTATACTAAAATTTAAAAAAATCCTCGTGCAATATTTTCAGCTCCATTTAATTTACTTTGTTTATGTTACTATGAATACACGCTGTGGAATAGCAAACAAATAAATTGAAACTAACATTATTATTTTCTACTCTACATTTTGAAAACAATTTTTCTTCAATAGCACTCATCTTGTATACGGCGAAGTAAACCGATAAATAACGTACTATACTAGATACTGAATAAGATATTTCAGAGGAAAGTGCAAGCATTTACAAAGTCGAAGTCAAAATATATTTATCTATATAGGCACCCACCAGAGATAGCTTACATCATTTTAGAATATTGCTCATAGATTATGATCTAGCTTAAAAATATTAAAGAATTCGAAACAACACTAATAGTATTATAACACTTTTGATTTAACGAATTTAAAAAGTATATAGTTGTATAAATAAATAAAGAAATAAATATGGTCCTTGCCAGGGCGTTCATTATATTATTTTATTGAAACAAATATGAACATCAAACACAATAACTGTTCATGTCTGAGAAAGAATTACATAATTACAAAAAAGAAAATAACTCATACATTATTCCAAAGTTTAACCATCTAGTAATACTATTCTCGTGTAACGAACGTTTAACGTCTTAGTAATACTAATTCCAGATACACAATTTAATTTTCTTGTGGAATATCTATTCATTTACTCAAACGTTTTTTATCTAATCACGAATATTTAGTAATTAATGATAAGATTATACAACGAAGTAATACATATATTATTATTATAATACCTAAATTCCTAAACATATCTACATATATATTTCGGATAATGCTTATTAAAATTTCAACATTTCACTCCACCTTATAACGTCTGGAAACATATAAATTTTTCATTAACTTGCAGAAGCTAAATTTGAAGATAACGTAAATAAAATTATAAGCATATTATTTCTAGATTTAGTTTTGGGACTTTGGGACCGTAATACTTTTTTATTTACTTGTGTGATATTCAATAAAATGTATTTGGAATAAACGTAAGTCTCCTTATAGGTTTAGATACAGCAAAAGCAAGCATATTATTATAAAAGAAATCTTTAAATGACTGCTTATACGTCTTGCATGCGTGGAAAATGTAAAAAAAAGTAAATAACAAAAAATATGGGCCAAGGGAAAAGTTTGATTTAAAATTTTCAACATAGCCTGAAGGCATTGAGAACAGTAAATTTAGAAAGCTGTCGTCGACAGTACCTGAAGTAACGGTGAAAGATTGCTTTATATCCGCAGGCTCCCTCTTATAACTCAAAACGTTTTTGAAACGAATTCTAGAATAAACTGTATCTCATTGTACTTCCATGAATGTCCAACATGTCTTCTTGATATGAACATGATTATGTCAATTTTTATTCGAAAACAAATTTTCCTCACTCTATTGCTTATTTGGTACATAAATTAAATTCACATATGTACAAAATTATTATAAAATGTTTTGATATTGTTTACGTGATTCGGTAATAACTCGTACATACAAACATAATAGGATTAATAGAATAGAAGTTTGTTATTTTACAATTGTTTTTTTATATTTTTATAAAAGTATTATCTTCATTAATTTTATTATATAAAAATGAAATAACAAATATATTTTTCGATATGTTCCCACTGATGTGTAACGAAATAATCAATAGTTGAAAAACTAATTGGACTCCGTTTGGTTTACTACAATTTATAACGTAGACGGTTCGCGGATTAATATGTTTTGGTCTATAGAGACTTTTAATTGCATTTTCAATCTGTATTTCATTGTTTATTTTATAACATTTCCATTACATATTTTTTATAAGCAAAGTTCATATAGCATTAAGGTACATTCAAATTGCAATGCTACCGATTTGTATAGAAAGATTTCAAAAATATTTATAATGTGTAACATTGATATTTCTTAAAAAGCATTGTATGGAAACAATTTTTGTTCCCTTGAGACATTTTAAAGCAACTTTGTTATGTTTATACATCCTGCATTTTTGAGTAAA